TTTGGTACCCTGGTTTTGATGCCAGATTTCCAAACCAAAATCAGACTAGGTATGTACATACCAAAAAAATATTATTACTGCTTGCACCTTTATATTTTGAATTAAATTTTAAGAGGCCAAGTTAATTTGAATAATTTAATTTACTGAGTCAAAAAAGTATTCTCTCATTTTTTAAGTTTACCTAAATCAATGAAGCTTAATTTTACCTATCAATTAAAGTTCCTAAAATTAAGTTTTAATTAAAGAATTAAAATTAATTTGGTATATTTAATGTTTAGTTTATATTGATATTTCTAGGGGATTTAGATTAAATGCAAGTTGAAAATTCTCATACAATTTTATAATTAATAAATCAGGCGGTGCTGGCAAAACTACGTTGATTATTTTAGATGTCAAGAAAAATTTGGAGAGGACTATGAGGGCTGTGAATATTTCAAGAAGACGTATGAATTGTTGTGTCCTGGCTTTTGGGTAAGTTCCATCATTTCAGTGATATTATACACTGTATGGACTATAGTATTTTTAATATTTAAAAAAGGTACCCAGTATACCTTTTTCTCATGACTTGATAGTGTATTGATGTACTGGCATTTAGTTTTAGTCTGGGTGCTGACATCAGCTTTGCAAAATTAAATCATTGCTTTGTTCAGTTTGCAGTTAATGTTTAAATTTTTTTATTTTCTTAATTAAACACAAATGCTACTTCCCATTCCACAGGAACCAAACTGGGATTCATGGAAGTGTGTTTTAATAGTTTATTTCCTAAATAAACATTATGTATACATTTTACAATTTATAGGAAATATTGATAGTGTGTTGATGCACTGGCATTTAGTCTGGGTGCTGACATATCAGCTTTGCAAAATTAAATCATTGCTTTGTTCAGTTTGCAGTTAATGTTAAATTTTTTTATTTTCTTAATTAAACACAAATGCTTCTTCCCATTTCACAGGAACCAAACTGGTATTCATGGAAGTGTGTTTTAATTTATGTATAAATTTTACAATTTATAGGAAATATGGAAATTTGTGAAACTGCTGTTGTTCCTCGACTGTGAACAAAACAATAGTTTATATTAAGTGCCATAAGTTGACCATACTGTTTCAGCTTTCATTTCTTCTTACATCTATATCGAAGCTATCAGTATTTTTTTTTTTTTAACTTTTCTGTCAAAGTTGTTTAACATTTTTTAAAAATTCATGCACCATAATTTTAGTAAGTAGGAAATTCTAGAAATATGAAACAAATACAGGCTATTCATTTAGGTGTTACATTTTTTAACAAATATGTCACTTTTGCTAATTTCAAACAAAAAATCCTGAAAGTTGCCCTTTATACTATTAGTATTTGATGTTTTTCATGCAATTTTTTCACTGGACACTATGTAATGAAATAGAAAGAATAAAGAAAAAAAAAAACACACTTTTTTAAGTTTAAGAACTCTACAATTTTAGCATGCATTCTGTTTTTTCATTAATATTATGTCATTTATTAATGAAAATTGATAAAATATTAGCTACCAAAAAATACTTCATATTCTCGTCAATTGTTTCTTTTCTACTACTAGATTGAACGCTGGAATGAGCAAAGAGAAAATGGTACTTTTCCTTATCCAAGGAGGTAAAGCAGTATCAAGGATATGTCACTGAATCAAGGATATGTCATGTGAATAGACATTTTCACACTTGTTTTTTTTCAACAATAATTATGCATTTTTGTCTTAATTGACATGTTTGAAAATGAATATGATTTTAAGGAATTCTGTTGTAGTTCATTATGTTATGAGAAACAATACAAAACATTATGAAAGGCTCTTAAATTAATTTAAACAAATCTGTCCAACTGAAAGTTTGAATTCTTTATTTAACAATATTTACATCAACATATAAAATACAGATGTATCACACTGAGTCTCAAAAAGTGATTATATCAATTGCACATCTCCTCAAAGAGAATTTATGACAGGTTATATTTTTAATTGACACACTGTCAACCATAAGTTTTTAGATGCCTAAGATAATGCAGCTCAAATTGATGCTACTGGTTTATGGTTTAATTAATCAGTTGTCAGTCTTAACAGTTGGGTTTGATTTTTCAAATAATAAATAGCTTTAATATAGACAGTAATATCAATCCAAATTCCCATCTTCTCTTCCCCCTTTAAAGAATTTTTTTGTAAATTAGCTTGGCAATGCTCAAGTAGAGCTATATTTTTATACTTGTATTAACTTGTATCTTTTAATAAAAAGCTTGTAGGAGTCATATATGATACTGTATTAACAATTAACTTAAGCCTAAGCATATTAAATTTTTATTTTAGAATTTACGTTGTAATGAACCAATACCTGAACACATTACAAATCATCTATATTGCTATTTCACTATATCGATAGTTGCAGTTTATTTGTGGATAATGTTTAGCTTCAATTTGCAGATTAAATTGCCAGTCTTCTAAGGCTTATCATTTGCTAGAACAATTATTATAAATAAAGTGAATAAGTTTGTCATCACTAATTTTTAGCATATTTAAATGTTGACATAGTTGTTACCATACAGAAAATTAGTGACTAGAATTTGTTTTATAAAAAGTTGTTGTTTTTTATCAATGACAAATGGAAGCATACTATTTCATGTTGACAGAGGTGTTAGTTTAAATTTAAGCATGCTATTTCAATTTCACACTTTTTTTTTTACAACTTCAAATAAGTAAATACACCCCTAAGTTCAGGGTTAATTTTTTCAACTCTTAAAAAAAAGTTAAATTAAAATATACTACAGGGCTTATAATTTAGAAAGGAAATGTGATCTACAATTTTTTTAATAATTTGATGTACATTGTATCATTGAATCTCATTATTTGAATTCCGAACATATTTTTTTTTTACTTAAGATAAATTAAACTTTAAATGTAACTAATTTAGAGAAAATGTAGGCTTTTTTTTGCTTGCGATAAAAGAAACAGTAATTGGAACAAATTTAGTGAAAATTTAGGCTATTTGGTATAACTAAAAGTTAAATCTTTGGATGATCCAAAATAGACAACAGATTTCAAATATGAATTTTTTCCTCACAATTTGCTGTCACAGTGATAGCTTTATAAAATTTTATTTATAGACAATATTTAAGCACATCAGATAAAATTTCTTTTAGTGTGGCATATATTACATATGCAATATAGTTTATCAATTGGTTACGCATTTTCAGACAGCCACCTTACGTAAATGTACAAATAAGCAACTGAAAAATGTAACTTAGGTTGAGGTTTTTTACCTTCAACGTAACTATTCTGAGTTAACCAAAAAAAACAAACAAATTTGACATTGGGTCACTTAAAGTATTATAAAATAATAATTAATAAAGCCATTCATTACAGTTACAGTGCTGGAAAGAGCATTATTTCAATCATATAACATTTTTGTTAATAAATGTTTCATCCAATCTATACATTCTGCCATCTGCAAACAAATCCTTAATATGGTGCAACATAAAGCACTCCATTATTTAGAACAGCACTTTGAACTATATACACTATATCCTCATATTCGGAGTGTGCTTAATTGATGATAGAGCATATTGAATAATTTGAAACTATTAATGTAATCATATTTATAATTGTAGGATTACATGAATTTTAAATTGGTTGACAATGTTGCTTTGGGTCATTTAATAAATACAAATTATTAATCACACTTTGAATTTATTTCGGAATATCTATTTCGAATAATGGTCCCCTTAGTTGAGCAATTGTATTTCAATGAACATTTCTGTTTTAATCCTGACTATACATTTCCAAGCAGAAAGTTACTAGAAAAGAGTAAAAGTGCTTAGCACTGAAAGATAGGTAATTGTTTCCTTTAAAAAAATTATTGTGTACAAAAGGAGGGAGGTAGAAATAAAACAGACCATACTTAGCTTATAAATAGCAGAAAAACTACAGTACTTAAGAATTTATGATGAAGCTATGATTGACTAGAATATCAGTGCAAAAACCAGGAAAAAAATTAGCTACATCTTATACTTATATATATTTTTTAAAGTAAAAAATTAGTTTACAAAAATTGACTTCATAAGAGTCAATATTTTTTTTTAAAATATGTAATTTAATCATCTAAAGTGGATGATCCCAATTTAATTAAAAATTTAAAAGTGAATGTTTGAGCTGCAAAGCCTTGCTATGATGAGCTCTGGCATCTTGAAATCGGCACAGAATATTCAGTCAGTAATTTCTAGGTCAATACAGCTTTTCCTTACAACACTAATAACTCATCCTAAGTTAAAAGTTTAAGATGTCTTATCAATGACTGCTTACAATAGATTAATTTTTATTTATTGCATTGGAAAGTATTGCTGCCAGCTAGGCCCATATTAAAATCACTCTGCTAAATTTTTTTTAAAGACTTCTGTTCAAATTCTTTTGTTTACAATATTTATATTGATTTGACAGTTTCATAGAATAAGAGCATATGGTCAATTGGTTGAACCTAATCGATGTATAACATGAGGAGAGGGAATGATAGAGAAGATTAGAAATAAACGCCTTGGAACAAAACCAAGGCTGAAATGGAATTCTTTTCCACTACACATTTGCAATATACCGACCATCACAGCCTTCAAAACTGCACTCAAAACACATCTCTTTAAACTCTACTATCCTGACCGATTCCCCCCTCTGACCAATAAACAATGCTGCTGGGTAGCTGTCCATTGCTTGACACGTAAATAGTTCTTGAATGTGTGGAGTAAATATATATTTGCTTTGTTTTATATAATTAATGTATGTTAATTTTTCAGTTCATGATTATGTTTGTTAAATTGGGGTTCCGCACTATATAAAAACACCAGTAATAATAAATAAAGTAATAATATACACATAAAATGCAAGTTTCAACAATAACTCCTTGGCCAGTGGAAGATTTTAGTTGTCATATAACAGAAACTTGTAATGATATATTAGATACTAAATGTGGTACCTACTTATAGATGCAGAGCTTGACTTTTCTTTTTCAAGTGGATGATAAAGAGTGGAAAATTATACAAGTATGCACATTAGCACCCTACTGTTTGAAAAGAATTATTTTATAATGCTATAACAAGAAATATGTGTGATCTTAAGGGGAGGTGTGGGTGAAAAATCTAAAATTTTTGTTTGGCTTCATATAGGATTTTTTTTAACTACACCTTATTTGGTATTGTAATGGAGGTACAAAACAGGTTTTTAAAAAAAAAAATTTCCATTGGTTGCCTTTGTAGCCCATAAAAACCTCCGCCATTTTTATTTTTTTAGTGTGTTTTAAAACACTAAGGCTTTTACAAATATTAAGCTATTGCTTTCAGATTTTAAACATAGATTATTTAACCTATAATAAAACTTTGTATAACAGGACTTTTTGATGTAATGACTGGTTATAAATTTACAGGGTCAGAAATTGTGACCCCATTTTTTATGCAAAAAATAGGGGTGTGGGTGAATTCTTTTTTACATATTTTCTTTTCTAAGATAGTTATCTTAATTCTAGGTTATTCAAATGTTTATTATTGGTCACTGAACATACTGTGAAAATTTGGTGAGGTTTGGATAATAAATAAAAAAGTTATAGGGATATTAGTGACCAAAAATAGTGAAAACAAGAAAACTGAAATAACGAAGAAAAACGACAAAAACAATGAAAATATCAATGAAAAATAAGAATCTTATACCAAAATTGGAATAAAAACTTTTTATTAGCCTATTGTGGACATTTTTAATCATTTTCCAGGTCCATTTTTCTTTTTTCCTGACCACTCAACTTTTCACTGTGATTGATATATTTTTATCTATTATTCTGTATTTGTCGAAAAAATAATAATTCGCTTATTTTGGAGAATTTCAGCATTATAAAAGTGTGCAAAATCATAAAATTAAGCTAGGTAAATATGCAATTCCAAAGAGTTATTTGGCATTGTCCATGAATGCTGAAAATGCAACTCTTATTCTTGTAAAGAAAAAATTGTAAGTTCTATGAGGTCTAATGACGGAATGAATATTGACAGTTGTAAATTTTCTGATTTCTATCTCACAACTTTTGAATCACTTGAGTTGCAACATGTATTTTTCCACAAAAGCATATTAACTGTTTTTTGTGTGAGCCAGAAAACTCATGAGCAATAACTCCATTGTAAAATCTAATTAGTTACTGTATCAAATTTTGACACTCGTCATGTTGAAAATCACATCGCAGAGAGATACAATGTTAAAATAAGGGAATTATTGATATGTTTCTTTCAACTACTGTCTTATTCTTTTTGTCCTTGAATAACACATAATGAGTTTTGTGATGTAATCTGTGTTAGTCTTCTCTTGCATCCTCTGCCTGAGGTTACTGTAGTTTTATTTCGATGCATCGAACATATGTTGCGCCGAGGAATCTGAAACATTGGAATACACTTAGGGCACTCCTTCTTTTTCATGTGCATATTGTCCTTTGGGCTAAATGGACCTAGGCACAACAGATCAGTGTAGTTTATCAACAGGAAATATAATGCATGTTGTGGTTTGTTGTGTTCCGCAACCTCATTGCGCGTCTCCTCAATGATTCCTGAAAACAATAAACTTGTATTTAGATATTTTTATTAAATGCTTCTCAATAAAAAAAATAAGGCTATAATGAAATTAATGACTGATAGGTCATACGACTTGTTGACACGTATTTCAAGCAAAATTTGTTAGGGCTCTTACTCTTACTTTACTTTACAATAAAATAACACTAATGACAATGTTATTTGCGATGCAATAAAAAAAAAGAGAAATTTATTACATTTAATTTCATATTACCATTTTAATAGCTATAAATATAGGACAGTGTAAGACAAATGTCACAATAACTAAATTCATAAATTGTTTATAGGTTTTATTTTTACTACAGTTCACTATCACAAAAGTAACAGTGTTTATTACTAATATAATAATAATAAAGTATAAGTATAGCCCTCATTCAATGTTGTATAGTGAGCACAGTATAGGCTTAGCCTTATAAATAATTGATACCGTACTTTAAATTTGAATCTAAATGAAAAATAGATTTTTAAGACTTACCAAGGCATAGTATTTTTCTATGTTTTTCCTGCTGGTAAAGTAGCGTAGCGATGCTTGAACTTGAAGCGACTAGCACTAGGCATAGGAGTAGGCTTAGTCTTAGTAGTTTAGTGTACTCAGTCTTGGTCTTCTCCGAAAAGGAGAAGCATTAATCATGTTTATTATGGCAATTAATCAAAGCCAACTCATTTTGTGTGGTTATTTACTTATTTAGTTGTTTTTTAACTCCTCAAATGAATTTATTACCGACAAATTACATATCGAACTTGCTAGGCCTCACGAAATTAGATACGGTTTTGTTTATACCGGAAGTGACCTTTATAAACAGATTTCCTACATAGGAACCAATCAAAATGCTTATTTTATTCAAAGGTCAGGGTTTGATCACGTGATACACGAAGTAGGACAGGAAAATACCAAATTTTGCTAGACATTACCGGCGATCGAAAGGTTCGGTTGCTTTTGTAATTTTCTTTGTGATCATAAGCTATATTTATCTTGACCCCGAAATCACCATCTTTCCAACCATGCCAAAGACATAGGGATTGGGCGATACCAAATACTCATAATAAAGGGGTAAAAACACTAAAAATAAGACAATTTTGACATTTTTCTGATTGATAGGGTCAGGAAATTTGTAATTTATTATATTTTCTAACTTAATTTTATAAAAACAAATATAAAAATGTTATAGAGAAATGGTTAATAAAACCAAATAACTAATAATAAAAAATTATTCAAAATTTGCCATTTTCGTAAATTTCTCACCCGCACCTCCCCTTAACAATAATACTAACAAATTATGTCCAGCATGTTAGAGCTTCTCCAATGACTTTCATTATATTGGCTCACGGTCAATATCTGAAACAATTGTTTATTTCTAGAATCATGTTCAAATTATTAAATGAATTCTGTACCTAAATGCTTTAAATTTAAAGCAATAATTGATCAATCATGGATGAAAGAAAATATTACAGTCATTAAAGCAGCAGCAGGTTAATAGTTTATAATAAATAAATATGATAACACTTGTAACAAATAATGTATTATACAAACAGGGATGCCTATCCACACACAACTTTTTACAATATTTATTCTTGAAAATTTTGCAACTGTAAAGAACAAACTAAAATAAGCCAGCTCCGGTTGAGAACAAACACTACATGCCAGCCAATTTGATATTAATTAAAATGTTTATTAATGGTTCTTATCTTACTTGTACTAGTGATTGGTACAAATCCCCCCCCCCCCTGAGAACTATTTAATAAACTATACAAATGAAGATCACAGCCATAAGCTTAGTTATAAATGTTGCACTTGATTTAAGAGGAGTGTATGCAAAATATGCATATTACTGGCCAATTAAATTCACAATAGCATGATTCACTCTTTACATAAAAAATGCAGTATCAACTCTTCAGTTGTGAAGATCCAAGGAATAACTATTGAACTCCAAGTAGCAAACCAGGTGAATGTGTTCCTGCAATGGCTTGCAGTAAAGGCATGTCACTTGTTTCAAATCTGAATTTAAAAAATTATAAAATGACTTAGAGTTTATCAACAATGTGAATATCAGTACTGCTATTCTATATTATTTTCTCAAAAAAATTATATTTTTCCCCTCCCTTTATACACCATTAAACATAATATCAAAATACAACACCATTGATTGCAATTGGGTGACACCTCCCCCTCCCCCACCATTATTTATGAATTAGTATTAGTGGTCTCATTTCCATTAACTTACCCCAACATAGTTGTTAGCTCTCGCTGATTGTATGTTTTAGCCCCTCTCAAGTACTCAGAAAACATAAGGCTTTATGAAGAAGATGGCACCAAAATTGTCTCTTTTCCTTGCAAACCATTGTTTGAGCTATAGCATGGAGGAGTTCAAAAACCTGCCGGTCTCTCTCTCTCTCTCTCTCTCTCTCTCTCTCTCTCTCTCTCTCTCTC